AGAGAGAGAGAGAGAGAGAGAGAGAGGAGTAGCCTAGATCTTGCGAGAACTTCCGGGCAAAACCAAATTTTAATGCCAACCGGCGTCGTTCGACTCGATTCGAAAAGTGAAATAGCTGTAGCATTTTTGTAGACCACCAAATTAGTTTACTTTTGTGCTATAATATATTTTTTTGCTGTGGGTTAGTACGTATTCAAAAATTAGGAAAAACAGGTCTTGTTCAACAGCGGGTGAGAAAAGCCAACGCTGGCAAGCCTCAACCGGAGTGAGAGGTCGATCGTATTTTTATTCTCACCCTGGGTGAGAATAACCACTTCTTATTAAGATAAAATAAATTAAAATACGATATAAACAGCATGCAGATGTTTAGAATTGCCACATAAGCCTACTCAAGCGCCCTCCTAGGAAGGCACTGTATTTTCTGTGCGATATTCAACCAAACTTTTTTTTGTATTCCACTAAAATCCCCTTTCGGAATACTATTACTATTGTAAACTCCAGTAATTACTCGAGTCTAGAGCAGAAACTCGAGTCCGGACTCGAGTCTTAACCCTTGTCCTGCAGGAGCCGGGTTTATGTCGCCTGATAAGCCTATTTCGGCACCTCGCCTACGTTCTGGTCCCGAATCAGTGTAGCCCCTGGCTCAGCGTAAGCGCATCCTCTTACGTGAAATTCGGGTCCCTAGTCGGATCCGCATTCACGCAGGTCAAGTGTGTGAGCGTCAGTCTGCTTGAGTTTGTGTGCATTTGCGGCCTTCTTCTAGAACCGCCACAGTTGGTTTGTAATCGAGGCATACGTCTCATTCAAAACACGCCAAGTTGGTAGCTCTAGATGTTCGTCCAATGAAATTATAGAAGAAATTGATCCACTTAGACATGAGGAGCTCAAAAGGATAGTCAGGAAACAAGACTTCCATTTTTTTATACAAAATCTTTCAAATGAGCTTGACTTTTATGTATGAAAAGATACTACCTGATAAAAAATAAGCTTGTTTGATAGTTTTGAATACCATACCATTGTGCAGGTACAAAGAACAATTTGAGTGCAAAACATTCGGAAATCAACCTATAGATATTATCCCCTTTCGAACCTCAGGTCATTCATAACAACAAGAGCGTCCAGAAAGGTTATTCGAAAGGGCATATATATAAACTTATAGGCATTGAAACATCTCACCACCACAGTGCGCATAAAATAGTGAAACCTGCCATAACTACTCGTAATGTCTTATCAGCATGTGAGAGGGGGTTATTCATAAGTTTGTAACACTTTAAAAATAGAAAGCTATAGAACCTAGAATCTAGATAGAAGAGCGTTATTTTCATAATTGATTTACACACTCCCACGGTATTCACGGCAAAAACGCGCACGCTGTACACCAATATTACACACTGAGTGACCCTGGCGGCCTGCCCGACGTAATCGGTTGATGATAAGATTCGCATCTCGGCACAGACGCAGGACAAAGTTAATATTCTGGACTCGCACACACCTCTATATTGCTCAGTGTAGGGTAGGGTTCACCAAAGTTCAATCTAACCCTTTAGGACCTTTAAAGCGAGAAGAATCTGTGTTTACGTGACAGCTAGATCTAGATTGTAGATCTAATATCTAGATCTAGAATCTTGTCAGCTGCTAGAATCTAGCAGCAGTACTACGACTGAATGAATTACAATTGCATGTCATGAAGCATGAGTAAGCAAAACAAAAACAATTGAGAACTGAACAACTTATTCAAGAACAAGACGTCGGTGGTTATCAAACAGATATATACATACAATACAATAAAATTAAGTGATGCCAGGGTTTCTAAATAAATAACTTATCATCGTTGATCAAAATTGCTGCTCCGTTCTTTCTTACCTCTTTCCTCTGATAAGTCAGGATTTCGATGGGGGTATCTAGAAGACTAGAAGACTTGAACAGGAAGTTTACGTCTTTCGCTTTTGACCTTCAACCTACGCTCTGAACTTCCTTCGCAGCTTTCGCTGCTCTTTGATGTATTATTTATAATCAATTAAAATTCAGGGTGTTCCAAAAGAATAACTGTGCTTCAATGATATGGAAAAGGGGACAATTCGAGAAAATAAAAAGAAACAACAGTACGAGATAGTTATGACACAATATAAATGTGTTATCAATTTTATTCAAATTTGCCTCGAGACCAGACGATTAATAATCAGACTATAGACACATAAATTCATCGGGTGTGATTAGTCATGAACATGTACTTATTTCGATAATGATGATATCATTAGTGTACCGTACTCAGGACTACAGCTGTTTTACTTGTTCATCAGTTTGAAATTGAGTCACACTGTTCAAAAGAATCACAAAAGAGTTTGCATTACGTGTTATGTATGTGCCATCAGCGTAACGCATTATAGCATTTTAACTCGGATATCTTTTTGAAGACTGAAAAAACCCCCAACAACAACAAAACAACAACAACAACAACAACAACAACAACAACAACAACAACAACAACAACAACAGTCCAGAAAAAGATAGGCTACTAAAATAAACTCCATACATCAGGCATTAAATTTCTTCTACCCCCTGAAAGCCTTCAAATGGATTTCATAAAAAAAAAATATTATTCATCTGTTTAGCGCAGCTCAGCTTTACAATCAGGTCTGAAAAAATCGTGGTTTCAGAGTGCATAGGAAGAAAAAATGATCTTTTCCCTCGAAACTTGATTCTAAGAACCCCCCCCCCCCCCCCCACACACACACACACTTATTATAAGCCTGATATATTCATCATCATCATCAAATGCCTTTCACCCCTGGCAGGGTATAGGCTACATACAAGCTCCTTCCATTTATCTCTGTCCTGAACCATCCTTCCAAGCTCGTTCCAAGTGAGCTTCGTTTCTTTCATGTCCCTTTCCACGCACCTCCTCCATGTTTCCCGTGGCCTACCCCTGTCTCGTGCTCCTTGTGGGTTCCACTGCCGTGACTGTCTTGTGATGTTTCCGCTGGGATTTCTTAATTAAGGTGTGTCCCATCCATCGCCACTTTCTTAGTCCTATTTCTACTTCTATCTCCTTTTGCCCTGTCCTTTCCCACAGTTCTTCATTTCTTATTCTATCCTGCCACTTAATTCTTGGAATACCTGATATATTATGCCTATGTTTTTCATGGTGTGTGTGTGTGTGTGTGTGTGTGTGTGTGTGTGTGTGTGTGTGTGTGTGTGTGTGTGTGTGTGTGTGTGTGTGTGTGTGTCGTGTCTGTGTCTGTGTGTCTGTGTGTCTGTGTGTGTGTGTCTGTGATTGTTCATGACTACGTTTCTTTCAGTGCACATAAAAAAATCGAAACAAAACAATAACAACACCATCACCACCTCGAACAACAACAACAACAACAACAACAACAACAACAACAACAACAACAACAACAACAACAACAACAACAATGTGCAAGAGATGGCGACGACAACGAAAAGACCACCACCAACAATAATAAAGACCACGCGATCAAACTCATTAACATTTAATTGTCAGTAAAAACAAACACTCGCAGCCTCTCAGCCAACAATTCGTTGGTGGAAAAGAACAAAACGTAGGCTACTCTTCTGCTATTGCCTTATAAATGAGTGGGTGAGAATCCGAGGCAAAACCCACTAAGCGACATTTTGAAAGGAATCGAGAATTATTTTGGCTTACAAATGTGCTGTAAGTAGGTGGTTTAACGAAAAAATCTAAAAACAATTAATTTGACCAAAATACATGTCTCTAGATAGAGCTAAAGGAGCTGAGAAAAATAACAACAAAAAAAACAGCATGAAGATTGGATAAACGGTTCAAAAGTTGAGCAAGTTTTTAATTGTGAATGGGCATTTTTCGGGGATAATTAATTACTTATATAGACAAGAGGATGGCACCAAATTGGGCCCAAATGAGGCATGGGAAAGACAACTTAGCAACAGTTTTCCTTAATTAAAGAAAACGTTGCCAGCAAAACATATGATAATCATACATTTCCAGAAAAGTTATGTAATGGCCTACATGATGAACAATGTGTTACGTAATATGTTAAGTCATGTGACCAAATGTCTTATCAAAATACATGTCTAATACAGTGGCGTCGTGTGGGTTGCAGACAAGGTGGTGCACAATTTGAAAGTTAACAAAATTAACATTTAATGGGCAATAGGCTTACTTGCTACTATTAAAATTGTAATGAGCTGTTGGCGGGCGCTCTGGTGTGGTCTGTTCTCTCTATTGCTTTCTTCTGCAAGTCTCTCTGTACGTGTGTGTGTGTGTGTGTGTGTGTGTGTACATGTGTGTGTATGTGTGTGTGTGTGAGAGAGAGAGAGAGAAAGAGAGAGAGAGAGCGAGAGAGAGAGAGAGCGAGAGAGAGAGAGAGAGAGAGAGAGAGAGCGAGAGAGAGAGAGCGAGAGAGAGAGAGAGAGAGAGAGAGAGAGAGAGAGAGAGAGAGTGAGAGAGAGAGAGAGAGAGAGAGAGAGGCAAAGAGAGAGTGAGTGTGATTGATGACCAAACCTTTTCAGTGTCTGATCGATCAGTGAAAAGCAGACTTGTAATGGAAACAGTACAATTTCTTTTACTTATAAAAAAAAGTTAACATTTCTTGAGCTCAAAATCTCGAGGCTGAGAGACCAAGCTCTTTTATGCGCACTTTCTCTCTAACTGTAGCCTGCTGAATAGCACAAGAAGCAAAGGGTCAACGTGATTAATCTATATTTCTAGAGAAAGTCAGTTAGAATCTGCAGGATATCCTGTAATCTACATCTATCGATATTTACTACTGTTTCTTGATGAAACCGCATAAAAACTTAAATAAAGTGAAACAATACTAACAACTCACTATGCTAACAATCTGAGAAGGTTTAAAGATTTCTAATTACTTCGTGCAGCACCAACAACCAGACTCAATCTGAAAATTTACCTTAACTGGACTTGCTACACAACAGAGGGCAACAAGTTTAGATACCCATTCTTCATTTAGTTACCGTAGACTCTACTAGTGTAGTAGATAGTAGGCTAGCAATAACTTGGATCAAATTTTTAGCTTGCACAAAATTGGTGCTGCGAAGAGAAGTTTCACGCACCTTTCTTCTTGTGCGGAAAGAAAGTTGCCTAGATTTTACAGTGACAAAAATAACTTTGGTGCAAAGATTTTTCTTGCACCCAGCACCCAGCAGACACTACCGCAAGCGGTGCGAGGAGCATAAACCCTCCTCGCTGTCTGTCTTTTCACTGGCGCGCGCGCAGCCAGCGGGTGACGGGTCGCAAGGATGTAGGCTAGTATGATATTATGTAGATCTAGAGAACTGACTGGTTTAGAACAATTAGAAAAAGGGTAAGGGGGGGGGGGGGGGGGGGGTGAAGGCCAGGGTTAGGTGGAGCGCTTGCACCAATTGCACCAATGGCGCCCCGCCACTGGTCTAATATGTTATGACGTAGCTTTGTTGTTTTGTCTTTTTCGAAAAATGCCGAAAATCGCGGCCGCGATTCGCGGGTCGCGGCCGCGACAAACGCAGATGCTAGATATTCTTAAGCTGAGTATTGTAAATGGGCTGATTAATCAATGGCATGCTCATAACTGTGCCTGAACTGCAACAGGGAACTGCTAATTTTTCTTTCCTGATCCTTACTATCGTCATTATTCCTCTACTTCTTTTGAATGTTTGTCACTTTTTTGTGAACTGCTATTTCCGGGGTGCCTTGATAGTCGAAGCAGACTTTGTGCTGTTGAAGCTAGAGAGGTGAGCAGAGTAAGCCTGATTCCCTGTAGGGACTTCTCTGCTAACATCCACCCCTTGGCGCTCATATGACCTTATGCAATTGCGAGCGCCGTAAAAACTCTACTAAAACTAACTGTTTTTGAATCAAGGAGTCGGGCTCTCATTTTGTGCTACGATAGCCCCTGTGTGCCCTTGTACGAGGTGCCCACTACGTACGGGAGCGGCGGATCGGGCCGATCGCCCGACTCGAGCGTCTAAAAAACAAACGTGTTTGTTTTCAGTTTCAGGCGATCGAGTCGGGCGATCGGCCCGATCCAGGCGAAGTGGGCACCCCGTATTAATATAGCTAGCAAACCGATCCGACCCGACCGGACTCGATCGTGCCACTGGGCACTCGGTATAAGGCCCACAATTCTTCTTCTTCTTCTTCTTCTTCTTCTTCTTCTTCTTCTTCTTCTTCTTCTTCAAATTCTTCAAATTCTTCAAATTCTTCAAATTCTTCAAATTCTTCTTCAAATTCTTTTTCAAATTCTTTTTCAAATTCTTCTTCTTCAAATTCTTCTTCAAATTCTTCAAATTCTTCAAATTCTTATTCCTCAAATTCTTCTTCAAATTCTTCTTCTTCAAATTCTTCTTCTTCAAATTCTTCTTCTTCAAATTCTTCTTCAAATTGTTGTTCTTCTTCAAAGTCTTCTTCTTCTTCAAATTCTTCTTCTTCTTCCATTTCTATGAAATTCTCTTCGAATCATAACTTTCCTCTCAGCCTTTCTGAAAGCAATTCTTTTGTATGCCAAGTTTTTAAACTTAAGATATAGATCTAGGTGACAAAGGGTGTCAGTAAATGTTCTTACATTTTTTTTTTTTTACATTTGCATCTTTAAAAGTATTTTTTGTTCATTTGTCTAACTTTTGTGCAGTTATTGCAGAACTCCGTTATTATTCCTTTGTTTACACCCTCGTCAGAAAAAGGCCTAAAGATTCCAAAATTTCCACTTTTTCAATACATTCATGTAGATTCTTCCAGTAGTTTTGCTTGGTCCTCTTTCTGCTTTGCCTGTTCTTCCTTCCTTTAAACATTGGGATAGTATAAATTCTTATTTTCACAGTGTGCCAAAAGGCTACTGATGTGATTGTATGTTCAGGGCAAAGTCCCGGAGATATTGAAAAGCAGGACAGTTTCATGATCATATTAATATTTCAATTTAGTTCTAGATTATGATCTTTCTCCGATGATGAGGTTATAATTTATTCTCTATGGGTCACCGCTCTGACCAGTGTCTTTGCGTTTTC